GTTCAAAGTAAGAGAAGCGTCAATTACTTTGTAGCCCAGTAACCACCTTATAATAAGGGCACCCTTTCTTGGTTGGCTACTTAATAACGGAACCGTGAACGAACAAAAAGGGACAAGGGTACCACTGGGCTACCAAGATTATAGCGCGCATCTTGCGCCCGATAGAAGGGCTCACCCGATTGTCGTCGTCGTGTCCTCCGAACATAGCCACCCGAAACCTTTTAAACCCCCCCCCCCACATTAGGGTTTAGGGTTTAGGGAATAGGGTTTGGGGTAAACCTTGCAGTGCCGAGTTTAAAGCAGTAGGGGCTGTTCGGCTTGGTAGCCAAGGAACAATGTACTAAGAAGGGTACCCTGTTTTGGGCTCATACGAAGGAACCCAAAAACCTAAACCCTACACCTCAAACTTACCAAGAGCAAAGCGGTACCGGGCTAGCAAGGTAGACACATCTCCATGTGAACCTCTCAGACCTCAAAAAGCCACCTGACTAGGGTTCAGGGAGCTCTGGGTTTAGGATTTAGGATGTACGGGCTCACAAACCCAAATCCCTTCCCCCTAATACTAAACGCCCCCCCCCCCCCCCCCTAATTTTGAATATTGTTTTTCCCGGACCCTGCCGGCACCCAGCCCAATACTAAACCTGTTTGAGAATTAGGGGGGGAGGGGTTCAGGGCCTTCGCCCTTGAGTTGAGCCATGAGGGTTTCAGGGTTTAGGGCTGAAGGCTGACAGGATGAGGATTCAGGGCTCAGGGCTTAGCGGGTTTAATTAGGAGTTAAGGAATTCAGGTTTTAGGATTTTTAGACCCCCCCTACATAATTTTAAATATTTTTCGGGCCCAGGCGAATTTCAGAATTAGGAGGGGGGGGGGGTTTGGTATTGGGGATTAAACCCTAAACCCTAAACACTAAACCCTAATGACCCATAACCCTTAACCCTAAACCTAAACCCTAAACCCTAAACCCTAAACCCTAAACCCTACTGCGTTCAGGGTTTCGGATGCTCTTGCTGGCGAGCAGCATGTGCTTGTGCATCCCTTGCACCCTGGGCGCAGGGCCATGCCCCAGTAGGTTTAGGGTTTGGGGTTTAGGGCTTGGGGTTTAGGGTTTGGGGGAGGGGTTGGGGTTTAGGGTTCAGGGTTGAGGGTTTTGGGGATCTAGGGTTTCGAGCTTTTAAGGGTTTTCGGGCTCTGGCTCAACCTGTTGTTCGGCCTTTGGTGGCTCCAACGACAAGATGTTCTCATCGTCCACGCTCTCCGGGACGTCAGTGTGATGTTGATTTCATGCCACATCAAGAGTACCTTCGAATTCTTCTGTTGGTGATACAAGAACAGGCCAACACCTAAACCCACTTCCTACACGACGGGAATACCAGCAGGTTTGTATAACGTGATGTAAGAGGCACCGAAATGCTCGAACGTTCCTAGGGGTTTCGAGTTTTGGGTTGACGGGCTTTCGGGCTGTTTGATAAGCACTTCGATTTGCAAGTCTTAGAACGGGGCTGTGTTCTAAGTTAACGGTCCCTTCTTTGGGGGGGGGTTCCTTTTCTTGCAATGAGTCCATGCCAAGTTGTACCTGAAAGGGTTTGGGTTTAGGGTTTAGGGCTTCAAGAAACGCAAAACCCATCGGTGGGTTGCCCAGCAAACCTCTGAAAGCCCAAGACCTGATGAATACCCTAAACCCTAAACCCTAAACCCTCAAGTGCTCGCCTCTGAACCGGAGAGAAATCGAAGGTGACGTTGCTGTCGCCATAGATCGCCTGCCAAGGTTTAGGCCCTGAAGGGCTGAGGGTTTAGGGTTTAGAGTTTAGGGCTTCGGGTTTAGGGTTTAGGGTTTGGGGTTTAAGGGTTTAGGGTTTTAGGGTTTAGGGTCAAAGGTGTCAGGGCTTCATCCGGTTGCAGGGCTTGAGGTTTAGTCATGGGGGTTGGAATCTGGGGGTTTCGGGCTTCGGGCTGCCGGGTCCAGGGAGCGCCTCGGAAGCCCTAAACCCTAAACCCTAAACCCTAAACCTTAAACCCTGAACCCTAAACCCTAAATCCTCAACCCTAAATGACCCTAAACCCTATAAGCTCATCGGCATGTGGCCTGGAAGCTTTGTTCCATCTGCACCATGTACTGAAGGCGCGCCTGGGTTCAGGGCCGAGCCCCGAAACCCTAAACCCCAAACCCCAAACCCTAAACCCCGAACCCTAAACCCGAAACCCTAAACCACAACCCCAAACCCTAAACCCTAAAACCCTAACCCCAAACCCTGAACCCTAAGGATTTAGAGTTGAGAGCTTAGGGGCCGAAGCAAGTCCCTGCCAAGGCTTGTTCATAGGGGCACATGGTAGCGGATCAGAATTAGGGCGCTTGGGTCTTTGTGAGCATGTCCTTCTCCATTACCGTGAATGAGTCTGTATTAAAGAACTTCGAGGAATCCTCTACGAAGCGCCTAGAACTAGGCCGAGAGTAACCTAGGAAAAAAAAAATGGGCACCCTTTTGAGGTTTAAAGGGGCGTCTAAGGGGGGGTTCGGGCTCGCTTTCAGTGGCAGGCGCTGAAGAGATGGTATTGCGCGGTAGGGCTGAGACATCGGAACGTGCTCCGGAAACGAGCTATCAGGGTAACGAAGTTCCAAATGCTCTGCAAATTCCATGAAGAGGTCCTCTGGATATGCGAGCTGATCAAAAATACCCATACTTCCCTTAAATTGTAAATGGGAACCCCTACATAATTTCACAGAAAGACCTTTAGATGAATCCCCCCCCCTGGCCCGCCTGGTAAATGCTGTAGACAGATTCGACCTCGTCTATGTGCTCTGTCAAGTTCTTCTGCAGCAGGGCCTTTCTAGGCACGGCGGTGACTGGCTTCAAACCCTAAACCCTAAACCCTAAACCCTAAACCCTAAACCCTAAACCCTAAACCCTAAACCTTGAGGATTGGGAGAGAACGTTGAAGGCTCTGGAGGGGTGAAGGAGTTGGGCTTCCGGCAGTTTAGGGTATAGGGTATGTTCCAAGTCGTAGCTCAACCCTAACATCCCCCGCAGCCTTCAACGTTCTCTCTCAACCCTCAAGGTTTAGGGTTTAGGGGTTTAGGGGTTTAGGGGTTTAGGGTTTAGGGTTTAGGGTTTAGGGTTTAGGGTTTAGGGTTTAGGCAGGCCATCGGCAGGCTGGCGCATCAATGCCATCCGTTCAATCGGCACGGCCTGGTACGCGGCTGTTCATGTCCAAAGACTCAACTGAGACAGCACCACATGGGTGTTTCTGAAATTAAGGTCCCTAGTTGGGTCCCTCGTCAAGTGCGGAACCAGTAAAAGCTCTGGCTCACGTCCGATCCTTGGAGATGGTGCCAGCCCGCGCTCGCGCTGCGCGCACGCAGAAGCAAGAGTGCAGGGCACCAGAACCCTAAGCCCCTAAACTCATACCAAACCTCAAAACCCATACTAAACCCCCAAACCCGGCCTAAACCCCAAAAGCCCCTAAACCCATACTAAACCTCAAAACCCATACTAAACCCCTAAACCCGGCCTAAACCCCTAAAACCCTAAAAACCCTAAACCCCAAACCCCCTAAACCCCCTAGACTCCGCAGGATCAACCCCCGGAGGCTTTCAAGTTCGGTCCAGAGCTGCCAAGCAATCGACCAGGGTCGCCTTTCTTGCTCTGTAAGGTTTTAAGGAGGAAACCAAAAAAAAAACCAACAACAGGAAAGGAGGGGGATCCCTCAACACCCCCAAACCCCCACAACCCTAAAGCCCTAAAAACCCCTAAAGCCGCAAAACCCTGGAGCCCCCCCCCCCCCCCCCCCACTCCAACCCCTGAGCCGCCTGGTTGACGGCCTCCCAGTCTTCCAGGAAGCCCTCCTGAGTTTGGATTTCAGGTGGGGCTTCTGAGGGTTGAAGAGAAGTTTAGGGTGTTTACTTAGCTTTGGAGTAGACCCTGAAAAAAAAGTTATATACTTTTTAGGTATAAGTAGCTATATTAGGAACCCAGAACCAAAAAAAGTATTAAAGTATGGTACTCCAAGACCCAGTTTAGGGTGTAGGAAAGTTGAGGGTGCTTGGGTTTCGGGCGTCAAGAGGGCTGAAGAGTAGTTTTAGGGTGTTGAGGGTCAAGGGTTTCGGGCTTTGGGGCGTACCATTGCTTTAGTGCTTCAGAGCTTTTGAGGCCTAAGGGTCATCTAGGACAGCATGGAACAAGGGCTCGGGCCTTTCAGCTGAGTTTGGGCAGCAAGGTGCTTGCTGCAGTTTAGGGTTTGAGTCTAGGCTTTAGGGTTTTGAGGTTGCTCTGGTTCGTGCCTAAATACCCTATGCCCTAAACCCTTAAAATTCTGCCTAAGCTGCCTCAGCCCTCAACCTGAAACCTAAGCCAGCGCGATCCGGCCTCAACAGACCGCGGCCGGTGCAGCCACGGTTTCAGGCGCCTATTCTTAACTATCTATGCTGGGGGTGTTATCAAGGCGCTCTCGAGGCTCCGAGCTTAGAGCGGCAGATTTCGGGAACTTGGTAGAAGAACGGATACCAGATGGTTTAGGGTCTGTGGATTTGGCTCAGGATGATTCTGAACTCCCACGCTCCACGTAAAGACTTGTCGGGAAGAAACGCTTCTACTACTCTGAGTATGGGGGTCCAAATTCGTGGGGATACCCGAGAGCCCGAAAGCTGAACCTTAAAGAGTCTCAAAAACATCGTGGAGGGTTTAGGGTTTAAGGCCCTTAGTGCTCAGGGGTCCCAAGGTCCCTGCGTGGGCAGGCTTCGATTTTCCGGCCGTCAGCAACAGAGACGCCCGCCGCTGCTCTTCACCCCTCAAAGTCCCTCCCCAAAGACCCTAAGAACCCAGGTTTCGGGTGCAGGGTAAGAGTTCGGAGACCTCGACGGTGTAAGTCTATAAGCCTTAAACCATCCAAAAAAACCATCCTAAACCATCCTAAACCCCTAAACCCCCAAACCCCTAAAGCCTGACCGGCCCCTGCATCCCAAAAACGCAAGTCCAGCGCCCTGCACTCAGGGATCCGCATTCTTCTCACTCGTATTCACTCAGCAGCTTGGCTCGCAGACCATCCGGTGTTGGGTCAGCAGCCGTCTCCACGTAATTTTGGAGGAAGTCCCTAAGAGTTTGGTGTATGAGTGGAATAGGGCTTAACTTGGCAGGGTTTAGGGCTGCACTCGGTGACGCGTGCTTGCAGTTGCAGGCCAGCGGCCATCTGGACCAGCTTCAGTAACAACAAGAACAAACCGGACCCACAAGATGTTCTGCTCACACGCTTACAGCAGACACGTGTCTGTGGCAAGGCTCAGGGGATCTGCGTGGCAAACCCTCAAGTTGAAGCCCCTCTCTCTACCCTAAAACCCTTTTCATCAGTTGAGGAGAGGCTCAGCAAGTCGGTGTACAAATCGCCCAAGTCGTCCTTCTCAGGCCCGCGCGTTCTCACTGTCGTTGCGAGCATGTCGGTGAGCTGAGTGACCTTGCCGGCGGGCTGAGCTCGAACCCTGAAGCCCGCCTAGAGTAACCCTGTGTTCCTTGGAAAGGGGGGTATATGGTATGCAGTAGAGTGTATGCACCCTTTAGAAGGTATATGCAACCAGGTATACCACCTCCGACGACATTACAGATTCCCTATTCGGGCCTATTCGCCAACCTTCTTGTCATACCAAGCATCAACGAGGTCGAACGCATCTGTCGATGCCCACCTTGACTGACAAAAAATCGTCGAACCAACAAAACCTGGAATCTTCCACGCTTTGCAATGCATGGAGCGCAACCGGCTGAGCCTGCCACTGTCCTTCTACAAAAACAAGCATCGTACTTAGGCAGTCCATTTTAGGGGATAGGATTAAGGGGAATGTTGGGGATTTAGACCCTCTGAGCCAGAAGAGGGTTCAGAAGGGTTCCCTTTTAAGTGTCCCCTTATCTTACCCAGGAATTTTGGCACCAACTTCAGTCCAGACGCGTTCCGTCAGGCGCACATGGCATGGGTCGGTCTTCAAGGTCCTGGACAAATTTGACAAGGTCCTTCTTGAGCCCATGGTTGCGCCAGCCTGCAAGGGGTTTAGGGTTGAAAGGGCTATCGTAGCGATCCACTTCGTGGGGAACTTCACGTTGGAATTGGAGCCCTGAGGGTTTCGGGTTGAGGGAATAGGCGTTAGGTTCAGCATTCCCCGTAGAAGGCCTTCCATTCGTCTCACGTAGTCGGTGTTTGTCCATCTGAGCTCGACGAAGATTCTATCCGCCATCGCAGGGCGCAACTCACTCAGGACATCTGGTGCCACTGCAGCAATCTCGCTGGTGTGACGGTTTGCTCTCGCGGCCACGAGCTCTCGCACTCGGCCAGGCGTGCCGTCGGACGGCACATGCAGAGTGCGGTGGAGGCCCGCCAGGTCTACAGACACCTCCTGGGCTGCCCAGGTCCCCGACAAAACCACAAGGGTTCGATTCAGTTCAGGGGGGGGGGGGGGGGGGGGGGGGGCGCACCAGACTAAGAAAACGGAAAGCACTGCTGGTTGACCTAGACACTGTCCTGCCTCGCATGTTCAAATTCCCAGCCACATAATCATTCCCTAGATAGCCTGAGATCAATGCGGCGAGGTGAGCCTGCGTGTGATGGTCCAAAGGCAGCACGTTGCGGAAAGGGAGCTTGTGGAAGCTCACTTGCAGGTTTCTGTGTTGGGACTCCTTGATTGGTAGCCCAGTACCCATATCATAACAGGCGCACCCTTTTTTGGGTTGGTTATTTTATAAGGGAAACCAGAACCAAAAAAGGCCAAAGGGTACCACCGGGCCACCAAGACTCAGATGTTTCCATGAGCTCACGGTCTAGCAGGTGGTCGAGGAGCATCACCACTGTCGCGAAGCCGTCCGATTCTCCCAGAGACAGTCCTGGCCGAACCTCCCTCTCCGCGACGTTCAGAACATCTCCTGCAAGGGCTTTAGGGATATGAAGTAGGGTACATATTTCTTGTACCCCCGAAAGGACACCCGGTATATACACTCATCAATATTCAGAGAGGAACCTTATATACGCTCACCAAGAACAGAAATATAAACCCGAACATATTTAGGGTTTACGGTTTTGGGCCCTGGACTGGTGGTCGATGGCTGAAGGACAAGATTGGGGCATGGGTGTCGTATGCGCAGGGACGCCGGGGCTGTTGCGATGGAGATCCTCAACAGAAAGCAAGTGTCTTGGGCACCACGTGACCAGGTTCCTAAACTCCATAGATTCAGCCCGTCTTCCGAAAGTTGGTCCAGGACCAACTCTGCCAAGAAGCCTACAGGCGGCAACTACTCAAACAAACTGTTGAGGGTGTACTTGTTTCTAACGTGTTTAGCCGTTCTTGTACTGTTCTTGGTTTTGGGATTTTCGGGTGTAGGGATTCAGGGTTTGGGTTCTAGGGTTTCGGTTTAGGCATCTTGGGAGCGGAGGATCGTGTAATTGTGGTTTCGGGGGCAGCTGCTTTTTGGCTTGCGGAGGAGGGGGACCTATCCGAAACCGCATCTTACAATTGAGGAATTCTGTTGTACCTGGTACTTCTAGCAACGGACTGGCCGTCGCCTTGTCTTGATGGGATAATCCCTCTGCATGAAACCCTTCTCCTCTTAACTCGGAGTGAGCAGATGGCCATTGATCAACGACTCTGCGCCACGCCATGGCAGCCACCCGCAAACAGTGAGTAGGCCAGAGGTCCGAAAACCCCACGCCCTAAGCCTAACACCCAGATTGAAGCAACAAGATGCTGAAAGGGACGCCTGTTTTCGGAAACCCCCATACGTTTAAAAACTCCCCTGGGCTTTATACGAGCCACAGCAACACATTAACCTCCTAAGGAGACCACAACCCTGTAACCCTACAACCCTATAAACCCCATATAGCCCAAAGCCCCTGAAGCTCTGCTCTAGAAGCCCTAAAACCTAAACCCTAAACCCTAAACCCTGAACCCTAAACCCTAAACCCTAAACCCAAAACCCTAACCCTAAACCCTAATTCCTCAGCTCTGGAAGCCACGGACTGCTGTACGAAGGGTTTCAGGTTCAGGAGGTGTAGCGTTTAAAGGGTTTAGGGTTTAGGGTTTAGTGTTCCGGGTTTAGGGTCAGGGTTTATAGGGTTTAGGGTTTGGGGTTTAGGATCTCGGGTTTAGGGTCTAGGGTCTTTCCTCTGACTTTGAGAGTCTGGGGTGGGGGGAGGGGGAGGGGCCCTCAACCTTCGAAGCGCCTGCTCTGTCTGGGTGGAAACCCTAAGCCCTAAACCCCTAGACCTTAAACCCGCGGTTCAATGTCAGGGCTTTGTTGCCGTGGCAAACAAGCGCAGTGCGGGTTGAGGGCCTAGGGTTTTGAAGGTGTAGATGTAGGGTCTGAACTTAGGGCTTAATTTTGGGCTGATTTTGGCGCGAAAAGAGTCAGGGATCTCCTGAGGAGGCATTGTTTGTGATATGGCTTTGCTACTCCTGCTATTCTTGTTAGGGCAGTTTCTGCTTTTGGTGCTGTCGTTGTTGCTGTTGACTTTGTAGTTTTGAAGCCCTAAGCCCCGAACACTACACACTAAACCCGACACCCTAAACCCTAAACCCTAAACCCTAAACCCTAAACCCTAAACCCTAAACCCTAAACCCTAAACCCTAAACCCTAAACCCTAAACCCTAAACCCTAAACGAAACAGAAAACATGCAGGCTTCGGGGATGAACGCATCTATCTCAGGGCACCTGTCGCCCTCAACCCCTATACCCAAGTCTACTATTGGCTTCAGAACCCACCCCCCCCCCCAACAAAACAAACAACAATAAGAAATGATCTTCCTTGTAAGGGCAACATAGGGATTGTTTTCTACATGTTTTAACATTCTTAAGCAAAGAGTAAAATCTCCGAAGCCAGGAAGCCCCAAGGTTATGGCTGTCGAGGGTCTGAGACATCAGCCTCCGTGTCGTCGATGGGGTCAAGGTCCTTCCGATGCCGACTCTCAACCCTACCTAAGGTTTACCTAAACCCTGAACCCTAAACCCTAAAGCCTTTGTAGGTGCTAGGGCTTCAGGGTGTAGGATTCGTAGGTTTTTGGGGCTTTAGGGTGTAGGACTTGTAGGTTTTAAGGCTTTAGGGTCAAGGATTTGTAAGTTCTAGGGCTTTGGGGTGTGAGCTTTGTAGGTTTTTGGGCTTTCAGGTGTAGACTTTGTAGATGCTGCCGCGCGGTGCGCGCGCGCGCGCGAGACTGTAGTGGCCGTTGGGCGTCAGGGCTCACAGAATGGGTCTGTCTTGATCGGTTTTACGGGTTATGGTTTCTAGGTTTCAGGGCTTCAGGATGTGGGGCTTACAGGTTTTAGGGCTTTCGGGTTTAGGGTTTTTAGGTTTTAAGGCTTCGGTGCATATCTGAACGCAATACTGGTGCATCTTTCGCGGAATGATCTCCGATCAAGGGATACACTTTTGGAAGAGTTGATTTACAGCCTTCGGAAAAGTAGGGCCACTATGGGTACCTTATTTCGGGAGCACGTCTGCCGTCGGCCCACTGATGAAGACCGGCGGAGTGGGGGGGGGGGGGGACCCCCAAAACCCTAGATCTCTTAAACCCCAAATCAAGCACCCCAAACCCTTCACCCAAACCCTAAATCCCAAACCCCAAACACCAATTCCGAAATCCAAAACCCTAAGCCCCAAACGCATTTCGTGGGGCAGGCATAGGCATTTGGGGCTCAAAGAAGGTGGGGCTTTAGGATCTCCGAGTCGTTGGCCTCAGGATGTAATTCGCTAACCCTAAACCCTAAACCCTAAACCCTAAACCCTAAGCCCTAAACCCTAAGCCCGAAACAACCCTCAGCCCCTAAACCGCACACCCGTAAGCCTCAAGCAAAAAAAACCTTGACAAGCAGAATCGCCTACGCAATAAACAATCGACAGCCCCAAACCCTGAAACCAGAAAACCCCCAGACAACCCTAAAAAACCCTAAACATGGCTGAAAAGCCTTAAGCCCTGTAAACCCTAAACAACCCTAAGCCCTAAGCCCTAAGCCCTAAGCCCTAAGCCCTATACCCTATGCCCTAAACCCTGAACCCAAAACCCTAAACCCTAAACCCTAAACCCTAAACCCTAAACCCTAAAGCCTAAACCCTAGCCTTGGTTTTTTTTGGGGGAGGCCGAACTCCGAACTTCAGAGATCGGCCTCGAAGTGCAGCTGTAGCGGCCACGCCTCCGGCTTGACGATCTTCTGCAGCTCCTGGCAGCGCGCACCCTTGTAGTCTGAGGGTGGAGAGGGGGTTTAGGGTTTAGGGTTTAGGGTTTAGGGGTTTAGGGGTTTAGGGTTTAGGGTTTAGGGGTTTAGGGGTTCAGAGGTTTAGGGGTTTAGGGGTTTAGGGGTTAGGGGTTTAGGGTCCCAAGTATGGGGGCTTCATGTGGGCCCCTTGTTATTTCACACTTAGCTTCACTATATATAAAAAGGGCCCATCCACGGTTAGACTGTCTGAGGGTAGAGAGGGGGGTTTGGAAGTTAGGGTTGAGGCTTGATCAGTTTATGGCCTAGGATTTGGGGTTTGGGTTCAGGGTTTAGGGTTGAACGCTGAACCCTAAACCCCAAACCCTAAACCCGTTGAGGCCGGGTTGAGGCGTTTGGTAAGCTCAGGGCTTAGGGTTTAGGGTTTGGGGTTGATTGCCAGACAATTGAGTATTAATATTCTTGGCAATACTGTATGGCTCATACTGTAGTCAGATAATTCCGGAGTTGTAATCGTTAAACAAAGGTGACGTGCAAATTTTACAGCTTCGCGCCTATTACAACCGGCTTGTTTAACTTAGTTTGTTAAACAAACGTGACATGCAAATTTTACAGCTTCGCGCCTATTACAACCGGTTTGACTAATTTAGTTTCGTTGGTTTGATCTTTTGTTGGGTTGATATCTTGCTTAATTCAGCTAATGGCACGGTGTGTCGATTGTTTCTTGGTGTTAAACTTGCAATGTCGTATTACGGATTTAACATTGCCTAGAAAGTGTACGCGTGACAATTACTTGCGTTACTAGAAACGCACGGGATTATGTTCTTTGCTTCCTCACTAGATGAAACCAGTATGTTCAACTTTCCCTTGGGTTTTGGGATTTGAAAAGAAAAACATACAGGCTAAGGGAACGAGAAAGGCAACTGCAAATATGCCTTGCGAAGGTGATACACAGCAGAAACCTATTGAGGCTGTAGGGTTCAGGGGTTAGGGGCTTTGGAGTTTAGGGCTCTGGAGGCTTTGGGGTTTTAGGTTGAGGGTTTAGGGGCTTTGGGTGTAGGGTTGAGGTTTATTTCCCTAAACCCTAAACCCTAAGCCCTAAGCAGTAAGCCTTGAAGTTCAGGGTTTAGCGGGGGAGGGAGCGTCCTCCATGACGCCATCGGATGCCTTGGGGCTTGCAGGCGGTTTAGGGTTGAGGGTTGAGGGTGTAGGGTTTAAAGGGTCTAGGGCTCAGGGTGAAGAGGGCTTTTAGGCTTGTTCTGGAGAGAGCTTATAAGGGCTTCTTGAAAGTTTGAGGAGGCCGTTTTTTGCGCTTCAGGGTTAGACCCCTTCCTTTTTGAGCTGGGTTTAGGTTTTGAACCCCTGCATACCCCGAAGAAGCCCTCACGTCGGACCCTCTTGAGGTTTAGTGCTTGGGACTTATTGGGGCTTGGGTCCGCAAAATGCTAGGTTTTTGGTTTAAAAGGGGCTTCTGAGGGAACCCAAACCCGGAAAACACCAAAGAATCAGCGCCTACTCTAGGTCCTGAGAATGTGTCTCTCCTTAAGCTGACCTTTGTCATTCGTAGACGCGTGTAGGGTTTGGGGTTGTAAATCCTCACCTCTATAAATAGACCCACGGCTTGCATGTTTACAGTCGCTTCCCCTTTCCCGCCCCCGGCCTTCTGGAAATTCACGCGCTGCCCTTGGGCATTGCGAAGAACGTATTTGGAGCCTGCTGGGGTTTGTTGAAGCTTTCGGGTGTTTTTGATGTTGCTTCGGACTTAAGTTACCTAAGCTGGGGGTTAGGCCCTACACGGGTCATAATCCCTATTGGTGGGCTATAACCCCAAGAACATCGAAGAGTGCCTTTTCCCAAGGAAGGAAAGAGCGAAGAAGAGGGCGCTTTGGGGGCACCGACTACCACTAGTCTACCAATTGTTTAAGAGCCCCCCCCCCAAAAAAAAAAAGAAGAAACTATTCTTCCTTATAAGGTAATATAGGGATTATTGTTTTCTAGGTTTTGGGGGGTTCTTAAGCACAAAAAGTTTAGGATTGCTGTGTGGCGCCCACCTCTGCTGCTCTAGTTTTGCAGTCGGCACAACAGGAAATTGCAACTGCAGCGCCCGCTTTATAAGTACAATCCCTACAAAGGTCTACAAAGGTGGTTATACCAGGGGGGGAGCACCGCAAGCTTGAGGAGTTCGGAATTGAGCGTTCATGCTGACATGGCGCCTTCTACCCCACTGAGAGCCCAACTTCTCCCAAAGGCTAAAACTTGGGGCAGTGACATGCGTGGTCGTCAAAATTGTGATCCCTTTTGGGGTACCCTAAATATATTAGGTATTAGGTGCACCCTAAACCCTAAACCCTAAACCCTAACCCCCCTTGCGAGCCCTGCGCAAGCACAAGCCTCTACACCCCGAAACCCACCCATGCCCTCTTTGACGAGCCTTTTGCTTTCAACCTGTAACCC